TTTTTTTTTTTTTAGGTATTGTCTATAGCTGCTTTCACATTTTAATGGAAGGGATGCATAGTTGCACAGAGATAGTATGGCCTCCAAAGTGTAACAAATTTGCTATCTGACCTCATAGATAAGTCTGCTGACTCTTGATCTGGAAGAAGCTTGAGTCTCATTTTAACCAGGCGTGGCCGGCAAAAACGTGAAATATGTGAAATACGTCACTAGCCTGAAAATTTCTGATTTCTCAGCAGGTTCTGGTCACAAAAAAAGCAGGTCCAGTGAGTGTGATATGACTCACCTGCTTCAGGAGTGAGGGGTTCCGAGTGTTCTCCTCAAACTTGGCCAGCAGCTGATTCGCCATGGACTTGACTTTGTTCTGATTTCCACCTTCTTTACTGCTGCTGCGCTCTTGATTGGAACCCAAGCTACGGCTGGAGAAGGCTGCAGGCTGAAAAGGTCAAAACAGTATATTGGTGGCTGGATCCTGGAACCCAGATATGAGGGAGGGGTCCTGGGGATCCAGGACACAGGACTAGTTTCCTGAAGGACTTCCTTCATGGTCTAAGGATGTGAGGCAGAGGCACAGGGCAGTAGAGACGATGCTCACAGCAGGAATGAGTTTGCAAAGGATGGATGTGCACACCCGGCTTGGGAGCCAGACAGTTAGGGCCTGAATCCTGACTCTTTCATTTTCCAGCCCTGTGACGTTGGCAAATGACTTAACTTCTCTGGTTTCCTCATTGTAAAATGGGGGCAGTGATCCACTTTATATGGTTTTTGCAAAAATCAAATATAATAATGAAGTGTTGTCCAAAATAGTTTTCAAAATACATCATGTGGCTGAGAAGAGGTGAAGAGTAGGGGGGATGAAGGAGGCAAGAGCGGGGGTCAGTCAGGCAAGGCACAGGCTCTGGGGGTCTTTCACCTCCCTTCTCTGTATCCCACCCCAACCTCAACCAGTCCTACTCTGTTTTTGCTAACTTTTGAAGAACTTTTAATTTAGAAACAATTTTAGATTTATAGAATAGTTGCAAAGATAGCACAGATTGTTCCTGCATACCCTTCACCCAGCTGCCCCTGCTAACTTCTGGAATAATCATGAATCATGACATTGTTATCAAATCTAAGAAATTAACATTGCCTTGATGCTATTAACCGAAGTATAGACTTTATTCAATGACACTGGTTTTTCCACTAATGTCCCTTTTCTGTTCCAGGATTCAATCCAGGATCCCACACTGCATTTACTCATCATGTCTCATTCATTAGCCTCCTCAGCCTCTTCCAGTCTGTGACAGTTTCTCCATCTTTCCTTGTCTTTCATGACCTTGACGTTTTTGAAGGGTACTGGACAGCTATTTTATAGAAAGTCCCTCAGTCTGGGTTGGTNCCCCCCTCACTGTAGGATCTCCTCCCATGGGCTGCGGAAGTGTAAATGGCACTGCCTCATCAACTGGGCAGTAAGCCTTCCCAAGAAGACCATGCATCTCCCTCACAGGACTGGCATTCTCAAGACAACAAAGATGTGTTCACTTAGAAGAAATTCATGGGAAGAGGCAAGCTATAGTCAATTGTTTTTTCAAAAGATCCCTAAAAGTAGCAGCCCCAAGGGAAACCTTGTACATATATAGCCACTCTGAAGTGTTGGACAAACAACCAAAGAGGCACTCCATACTTCAAAGTGTGAAATGTGACTGTGCACATCAACACAGGCTGGAGTGAGAAGAGGAAGAGCTTACTGGGGCGATCACTGTTTGTATAAGACCAAAGTTAGCCAGGACAGGGGGCCCTANGAACAAGTCACAGATGTGGACAGTCTGTCATACAAATACACAGCAATAAAACCTCTTCAGCCATATATACTAGAACAAGTCTTTCCTAAATCCTATGAATCAGGTATCAATGTACGAGGATTATGTAAATTATCCCACCTGCCTCTAAATCAGCATTTTGACAATAGCCAGTAGGCTAGTTAAACTGGCATCCTACACTTCACTGACAATATGTACGCTTGCTTTTGTGGAATTATAATGGATTTTTTGGATGAATTGTAAATTTCAGATCTCTTTAAAGACCNAAAGTAGCAGCCCCAAGGGAAACCTTGTACATATATAGCCACTCTGAAGTGTTGGACAAACAACCAAAGAGGCACTCCATACTTCAAAGTGTGAAATGTGACTGTGCACATCAACACAGGCTGGAGTGAGAAGAGGAAGAGCTTACTGGGGCGATCACTGTTTGTATAAGACCAAAGTTAGCCAGGACAGGGGGCCCTACGAGCTAGCACTTCCCAGACATTAATGTGCACACAAACCATTCAGGGATTGATCTTCAAAGCAGACTCCATTTCAGGAGGTCTGGAGTGGCCCCGAGAGTCTGTATTTCTAACAAGCTCCCAGGTGATGCTGATGGTGCTGGATCTTGGACAGCACTTTGAGTAGCAAGATTTTAGAAAGAATTATTGCTTGGAGGTTGACTTGAAGTAAAACAGCTGCCCCAGAAAAACAGTCCAGAGCCATCTCAGAAGGGGCAGATGCAAACCAGATTTCTCCCCACTCCAACTCCAACGCTGCCAACAACAGACAGCACAAACACCCCCTCCAATAAGCCAAGGAAGAAAGGTAGGAAAAGACTTCACCCTGAGACAAAGTGTACCCAGGGGAAGCTTCTCGGGAGGAGGCAAGAGCAGATCACAGGCCCTGAAGGTGGAGAGCCACACCCGTAACCTAGGAAACGGAATGTCTCCAGCCCTGTTAATCAGCCTCTTTTTCCTGCTCTAAATTATCTCCCTATTCGCTGGCTTTTTGCTGCCACCACAAACAAGAGGTGGGAAGCAACAGTTTTTGAAGGGATCACCCAAAGAAGCTGTAGAAAAGGTTTAGACAAGAGTAATTTGAACTCACTGGATAAAATGAGTTTGTTCACATTTTAAAATGTGAACTGAACCCCGGGTTTCCTTTATCAGTGCTCTCCTTTGACCATCCCAGGAAATGCACTCCCTGCAGGTGGGCCTTGTGGCTCTATTTATTATAAAGCTCGCTGTTGTGAGACAGAACAAGTCACAGATGTGGACAGTCTGTCATACAAATACACAGCAATAAAACCTCTTCAGC